GAGCACGGCGTTGATGAGCGAGAGAAGCGCATTCCGGCTTTGCCGAAGGAGGTTGAACAAATGGTTGCCGGCAGCATCGCCAATGTGCGACTTGGCAACCGCGACACCGAGCGGCAGCGCAAACATGATGATGCTCAAGAGCGACCCGTTGGCGAGCGAGCTAAAGATGTTGTCCGACACCATCAAGTTGATGATCGCAATCACTTGGTCGGTGAGCGAAAGCTGCTGGAACTTGCCTTGGATGTTGAGCACGTTGTTGATGTCGTTGATCTGGTACAAGGCGCTGGCGGCCGTCGTGTTGGGCTCAAAGCACGCGACCGACCCGTTCTCGGCCGCGCCGAGGAAGAGCCCGTTGGCACATTTGAGCCCGATGATTGCGACGCCGCTCGTTGCATTGGCGGCGACAACAACCGAGCTCGGCGGGCTGTACATGGCACGGAAAGCCAGTGCCACAATCATACCTTGAACCGCCGCGAGCGACGACGTGAGGAAGAAGACGACGACGGTCCGGAGCGTCAAGACCGACGTCCGGTTGAGCATGATAACTTCGGCGATCGAGACTGTCATCGAGCAAAAGACAAGCGGCACGACAAGGCACCGCAGTGCGCGCACAAAGAGGTTACCGGGCAGCGCGATCCACTGCTGGACGTCGTCGCCGACCTCGAGCTTGGCCAGCAAGAGCCCGAGACCAATGCCGACGGCAGCGCCAATGACGACCGCGATCGAGTTGACAAAGACAGAGCTCGAGCGCGAGTCAAAGTTGCCAGCCGCGAGGTGCTTGGGGTCATGCTCCTCGAGGATCGGGTCGTCGTAGACTAGCGGCGGTGTGCCGACGCCCTCTGGCTGATTCCGCACTGAAAAGTTGGTGCGCAGACCAAGCGGCTCGGCGGGCGGCGGCACGCGGCGCTCGCCGCTGCGACCCGTGCTCGATGATGAGATGGACCCGGGCGTCGTATGCAGTCGGTGATGCCCGGTGGGCGCCGGCGACGGCTCGGTGTTGCTGTCGCCGTTGTTGTAGTATAGGTAGATACCTTTCCCTTGCATACTACTACTCGACACTAAGGAAATGTGAAAGTGGCGATGTGTTGTCACGCGCGCAAAACGTCTGAGAATTACGACGGTGCAGCATTACCGGTAGCCAGCGCCGCCTGAGAATTCGTGCCGCACAGAATTGAACTTTGCCGTCCTGTCGCTTCAGAGTCCTCAAAACACCATCGCGAGCGAGGCTCGATCCCATGGCCTCGTGCTTGTATAGCACTTGATCTCTTTACCTTCTCACAGGGTCAGACGACGACGGTCTTGACCGACACCCAGGTTGCCGCATCGTTGAATCAGATGTTGTTCTTTGCGGCTGTCCGAGTATCTGGCCGCGTGCATTCTTTTGATCTCGCCGCAAGGGATTCGGCAGTCGAAGCTCTCAAGTCGACACCACCACCTCTATGCTGAGAAGAGCAGAAGCCGAACGCAAGGTCCTTGCGGCGAGAGCGCGCTGTCGGACGAAGCGCTGGTCCCTGCAGACGACGTACCCAATCGTACCCATCAGTGCGAGGTTACGAGTCGCTTTCTTGGCGGCGCGTCCACCAAGTCGAAAAAACGAACGCGGGCCTTTCTATTTCGAGCCTTTACGCCGGATTGGCCCGTGTCTATGAAGCGAACGCACTCGCGTTGAAACTCGTGTCACGGGACTGCGCACCAATTCTATAGTACAGTGCATAGAAACTAGATCGGAAGAAGCTTAGGAGGCGGCTTTCTCTGCCACAGCGAGCGAGCGGTCACCAGATTGCAGCGGAGCAGGGATGATAACTCGATCTGCGCAGGCCATACTTTGTACCGGGTCTGTGAGTCCCACACTGTGCGCCCACGGATTCGTCCAGCGCTTTGCGATGGGGCGGGACACGGCGCAGCCAGGACCGCACTGGAAGCCACAACGTACCGAGTGCAAACGGCCGAATTAAACGGCCGATCCTCACGTCTTTCAAGGACATTCAACAAGTAGCGTCGCGACACAGCCCCACCACACACAAGTAACCCGGTTCATGCAATATTCGTGGCCACCACGACGCGATGGGCGAGAAGAGGATCAGACGTTGATGCAAGCAACAGTGGCAGTGGACCTTTGCGCGTGGAGCTGGAGTGGTGCGTTGACCAAAGCGACAAAAGATTCGACGGCTGGCAGTTTGATTGGTTGATTCAAGCCACGTGATCCATCTGATTGGCCTAGGAAAAAGCAAAACATTTCAGCCAATCACATGGCAAATTCATTCGCAAATTGGGACGACGGTGAACAACCAAACGAAGCTCTCGTGAGAGAAATTGATGTGAGAGTAGCCACACCACGGGCGCCATCCCGGCGGGAATGATATTACTTCGTCTGGGTGTACTCAAATTACATGGGCATCTCTGCATTACCGAGATGGTTTATAAAATAAGTACTAGAAGAGCGTCATATTGCCGCTCTCTACTCGTGATGGGCCCACGCGTCGTTGTATTTTTCAGCGAGAATGCGCGTGACGACCATATTGCCGTTGAGATTGCACATGGTGCAAATGCGATCCAAGATGAAGTCGACAGCCACAATGTACACGAACGAGTGGGGAATCACCATAGTCGGGAACACAGTCTTCCACACCGTCATGAGCATCACGAGCGCCGCATTCGGGACCGGTGCCGTGCCCATAGACGCCAGCAACGACACAAAGAAGAGGACGACCATCTGCGGCACGCCGAGGAGGTCGTTCATACCGGACGTGTTGACAAGAAACACCATCATGACTGGAAAGTACAGCCCCGGCGCGTTGAGGTTCACGGGCGTGCCCAAGCACAAGATCATTTGCGCCAGCGAGCGCGAGACTTGACGCGTCTGGTGCACGACAGTGACAGCGACCGGGAGCGACGCCATCGACGACGAGCAACCAAACGCAAAGACGTACGCGGGCACGAGCTGGCGGATGTAGCTGTACGGGTTGATGCGCGTAAAGAGAAAGAGCACGAGAGGCATCACAATGAGCATGTGGCTCACAATGCCGCACGAAAACGTCAAAATCAAGTAGCCGGCTTGGGCAAGTACCGTCGACGAGGTCGAGTCGACGGCCACGATCGCGTTACAGATGAGGAACGCGACCGCGATCGGCGTCAAGCGAAGCACGGCGTTACAGATCAAGAGGAGACTGTTGCGCGCTTGGCGGAGGACATTGAGGACGTAGTTGTCAGCGCCGTCGGCGCTCGACCGCGCGATCGCGTACCCAAGCGGCAAGGCAAACATGATGATCGAGAGCAGCGAGCCTTGGGCCATGCTCGCAAAGATGTTGTCGGGCACCATGAGCTCGATGATCGCGATGGCTTGCTTGGTCAGCGACAAGTTGGCCAGCGGCGTCTTGACCGAGAGCACGTTGTTGACGTCCGTGATTTCAAACTGCGTTGCGTTGACGCCGGCATAATCGGGCGCCGCGCAGACGACCGACCCATTGGGCAGCGTGTTCAAATACAGCCCGTTGGCGCACTTGAGCGCCAGGAGTGGGCCGCTCGTCACCGTGCCGTCGTTCGTGTTGGTGCCCATGAACATCGAGTGGTAGATGAGCGCGAGCACCATGCCCTGGATCGTTGCGAGCAGCGACGTGAGGAAGAAGGTGCCGGCCGTGCGCCACGTGAGAATCGACGTCTTCCTGAGAACGACGACTTCAGCGACCGAGACGCTCATCGTGCAAAAGACGAGCGGCACAATGAGACAGCGGAGCGCGCGGACAAAGAGGTCACCGGGGAGCGCGAGCCACCGGCGCGTGTCCTCGCCGACATCAAACGAGTTGGAGAGGAGAAGACCAAAGCCGACGCCGAGGGCCGCGCCAATGACGACCGAGAGCGAGCTCACAAAGCCCGAGCCGCGCGGGTCGTAGTCGGCGTGCGGTGCCATCATGCCACCCGCGCCTTCCTCCATGATCGGGTCGTCAAAGACGTATTGGGCGTTAGTGTTGCCCGCCGTGGTAAAATTGGTGCGAATGCCGAGCGGCTCGGGCGGCGGCGGCTTGGCGCCCGGCGTCAAGTTGGAGGACGGCACCGAGCTCACCGACGCGGCCTTGGTCTGCGGCGTCCCGTTGCTACCGTCGGCAACATAGAGGTAGATGCCCTTGTCCATTGAAGTGTTGGAATCAAGCGGGCAAATGAAAAGTGATCACAGCAGTGCAAGGCGAGTGCACACACGCTTGCGACGCCCCGCCATTTGGTGCAGCGACCGCATTCACAGACAGGGCGATATGTGCGGAAGAAGCAATTCGATGCCGTTGGAACCGGGTGGAACGGATGTCTACGGGGTAGACGTGGATAGAATTTACCTTTAATGAGTACCGATGGCGTTACAGCGGCTGCGAGGGCGGTTTCTGCTATTAGTTGACACGCGCTCATGTCCGCACAGGTGGCTCTTAGCCGGGCGCATTGTGTCTCTGGTGACGCCACGTCAGTCGCAAGCCAGCGCGCGAATCGATCGCAGTGGGTACAAGCGCAGTAGTGGCCAAGCAGAGGCCATACGCATCACCAACTATCATTCGCGCATGGCTTTGGCACGCCGGTCGCACCAAATACTACAGCGCCAAAACACACCAAAGTCGACGTTGGAGTCGGTCTTGAAGCGCACATCTTCATGATAAGCTGATCAGCTGCGTGGTGGTTGCACGTCGTGAGGGCACCGTAGTACATGTGAATAAGAATATCATGGAGGTTGCGCCTCTAGCATCCCGCGTCGAAGCAGCGCAACAAGTAATAATACAGTAATAAATAGAAACGGCAGTGCTCCTGGCAGCTGGCGTATCCACGATACGTCGTGTGTTCATCCACGCTAGGCAGCTGACGAGCTATTCACTTGTCGTTTGTATGCCGTCGAGACGCGATCATCATGCGTTATCGGCACGTGGCGGGAGATATACGATTACACATTTTACTAGAGTTATGATACCGCTCCCCGTGGTAAAGGACGCCGATTGCTCATTCACTTATAGCGTCCACGAAGACGATGCTTTTCACCAAGACCTCTCATCTCGCGAGATGTCGCCGGGGCAATCACGTCCGAGTGTCTTCTTGCATTGCTCTTTTAGAGCTGCTTTGGGTCGAGTCGCAGCACTTTTGAATCAGGCGACGCTGACTTGAAGCGTGTGGAAGTGAGTCTCGGCGTGTCATGTTTACGGACACCGGGTCACTGAACTGGTAAACTGTTTTCATGGCGGTGGCCTCCCCAGACTCCAGACTTTGGATCCCACTCAAACCAAACCACAGGGCTGGTGACAAGAACGGCGTCGCTGGTGCCTAGCTGAGGCCTAGTCATCGGCAATGGGTGGCGGAAGAGTAGCCACCAAAATGCACCACACACGGCCTTCGCTCGTCATCTCGACCGGGCACGACACTGTCTTCATCACTCATTTCATGCTACAACTTCAACAACTGCAAGCGAGTCGACGGTGGGTTGTGAATCAGAACACCTCGAGCGCAAGCCTCACTTTCCATTCTTCAATTGCAGACGTACTCGTCCTTGGGTATATACTAGGTTACTAAATAGACGATTACATTAGTAGGACACACAGTGCATAGTCTTCCAACGAAACTACGCGACTGGAGTGCTGGCGCCATCGAGCGAGATCGTGTCGTCGTACTGCGCAGACAGAATCCGCGTCACGACCATGTTGCCGTTGACGTTGACAGCAGTTCGAATTCGATCAAAGAGAAAATCGATTGCGACGACGTACACGAACGCCGACGGCAGCGCGATCGTCGGAAACACCGTCTTCCAGACCGTCATGAGCATGACAAGACCGGCGTTGGGCACTGGTGCTGTGCCCATCGAGCCAATGAGCGACACGAAAAAAAGCACGACGATCTGCGGCGTCCCGAGCGCCGAGGCATTCCCCGACATGTGCAGCATGAAAATGGTCATGACCGGCTGGTACAGTCCCGCGGCGTTCATGTTGATGGGCGTGCCAAGGCACATGATGAGCTGCGCCATTGAGCGCGTCACAAGGCGCGTCTGGTGCGTGACCGTGACGGCCACCGGCAGCGTCGCCATCGACGAGGCACACCCAAACGCAAAGACGTAGGCGGGAAAGAGCTGCCGGAGGTAGTTGTACGGGTTGCTGCGCGTAAAGAGGAAGAGGACGATGGGAAGCACCACGAGCACGTGCGAGAAGACGCCAGCGATAAACGCCAAAAAGAGGTACCCGCCATGGGAAGCGAGGCCCGCGGACGACGTGTCGTACGCAACAACTGCGTTGCTGATGAGAAAGACGATCGCGACCGGCGTAAAGCGAAGCACCACGTGGATCAAAATCAAGAGCGCGTTCCGAGCTTGGCGCAGCATGTTGAGGAGGTAGTTGGTGCTCGCATCGCCCGCATGGGTTCGGGCGACTGCAATGCCGAGCGGCAAGGCAAACATGATGATCGAGAGGAGCGACCCGTTGGCGAGGGCGTTGAAAATGTTGTCGGGCACGACCATTTCGATGATTGCAATCACTTGCTGCGTCAGCGACAGCGTCTGGAGCGGCGTCGAGATCTTGAGTGCGTTGTTGACGTCCGTCACTTGAAACTGCCCGGACGTGGCATTGGCGCCAATGCACGCGACGCCGCCGTCCGTCGACGACGGGCCGAGGTACTTGCCGTTGGCGCACTGCAGCGCAATGATGGGCACCGTCGACGACGTGTTGAACGTCGTCGCGTTGTCCTGCCACGCAAAGAGCCCGTGGTACGTAATCGCAACCAGCGTTCCCTGCACCGCCGCGAGAAAGGACGTGAGGAAGAACGTGCCCGCCGTGCGCCACGACAAGAGGGCCGTGTTTTTCAAAATGGCAATCTCGGCGATCGCCACCGTCATCGTGCAAAACACCATGGGCACAATGAGGCAGCGCAGTGCACGCACGAAAAGGTCACCCGGCAAGGCGAGCCACAGCATCGTGTCCTTGTTGATGCTAAGTGCTTTGAGCCCAATACCGAGGCCGACACCGACGCCAACACCAATGAGAATCGAGAGCGAGCTCACGAGGTTGGCGCCGAGCCGCGGGTCAAAGTTGCCGTGGACGCCGAGAGGCAGCTTCTCGGTCTCTTCCATGATCGGGTCAGGGAACTCGTACTCGGGCGTGTGCGGCCCGAGCTCGTGTCGCGTCGGCGTCGTAAAGTTGGTGCGGATCCCAAGGGGCTCGTGGTGCGGCGCCGTGCGCTTCCCACCGCTGCTCGTCGACGATGCCGAGCTCGGCGTCGCATGAAGGAGGTGCGGCGGCGTTGGCGTCACCTGATGGTCGGCTTCTTGGTACAGGTAGATGCCTTGGCTGCCGGCCATGGTTCGTCTCTGTGGTCAAATCGAAAATGAATGCATGCCCTCGTTCGCGTGTGCATGTGTTAGTAAGGCCCACGTGGGTCGAGACCGACCGCCTCTGCTGATGAAAGCTACTCTTGATGGCCGATGTCGTCGTATTTGGTTGAGGCTTGATCCAGATGGTGAGAGCGGCCTTTCTACAAGGGCAAAATGGCGTCGGCAGACAAGCGATGTCGGTACGATGCCTTGCTACTGGCTACTGCCGACAACACCACGCTTCGTGTCGGTCTTAGCGACTCGGCAATCGATTCGCATTGGCTTTAAAGACGTACTAGAGCGGATGTGGTGTCGGCGGCAAAGCCAATTGAAGTGGAATGGCGCTTTAGTAGTACTCTACGAAAGCAGAGTACTACTACGTTTACGTACAGGCAAGTGCCATCTTGTATAGTGTATTGTATCGCGGCCGGGGCACGACTGCTGAACGTAATTAGAAAGGTGGCGTCACCAGTCGTCCAGTGGTGTTTGCTTCTACCGAGACCGCATCAACACAAGCCGAAGCGGTCTGTTGCACCGATCAGCTCGCACGAGGCAGCAACGGTACAGACGGCGGCGTTTGAAGCTCGATGGTCGGTACAACAGAGCTGACCAGTCGATCTTCTTTCGAAAAACGCGTCCAACAAACGAAATAGCAATGGATGGGATCACGTGCTACGTTAGCATGCGCCTCGAAGGCCGTGTGTCATCACGGACGTTGTTGGTGACGACGGAGAAGCACCACGCAAGCACCATTTTTTCAAACGTAGGAACGAACCAGGAACTCTAGAAGTCTCGGAAACGATTTCCGACATGAAGCAGCAACGCTGGACAAGTGGTATTCTCTCGAGCTTGAAGTTGCCATTTGTAAACCTGGATGGTGCCAGGTGCTTTTGTCTACAGCTGTTGCCATCGAACGTCGCGCCATAGCCACACGTCCCGAGTCCCAACGCAATGCAGATTCATTCTCAGTATGGTCAGCGCAGACATACGCATACTGCACGAGTAATACGCAACGCCAAACTGGAGTCATCTCATCGGGCTGACAGTCGACGTAGTTGGTTGAAAGATCGTGACGGTAAACGCCATCATGCGTAGAAACTGTAGCCGGCGAGGGGGCAAAGCCACGAGCGTTGCTGTCACGTTCTTTTCTTTGGGTTGCAATACCCCTTTTTCGTCGAGCGTAGTACAAGCAGGCACACGCGATGTCGCGCAATCTCAAACGCATCGCACGCAGTTATAGGAACCCAATCGACTATGTTCTTTCTGACGTCGACGCAGTTGCAGACTTGCTGCTAGTTAGTTACATGGCCAACCAAAGAGATTTCGGCACGGATACAGCCGAGTGAATCTCTCTCGAAAGGTGGGGAGGAACAAAGAAAGCAATCGCGCTTGCTATTGGGACTTGAAAGGACGAAGAGTCTTGGCGCAGTCAACAGCAGCTCCCAGGTAGCGTGCTTGCGCTCTGTCGACGCACCCAGGTGCAAACGGTGGCAACATCACGTCTTTTGTGTCAGCGCATCACGCGCAGCCGTACAAATTGTGAGAAGAACGCGCGATCCAGCGTGTCGCTACGAGCAACCACACACAAAGACACGCCAACAAAGATGACAAGACGGCAGTAGGTAATTGAGATTCAGCAAACGAGCTGGTTAGCCAAGAGACAGGAGTAAATACATAACAAAATACTAGACACGAATCGACATCTAGACTCGAATGGGGCGATCAGCGGCGGCGGCATCGTCGTCGATCGAGTCTTGGAGGTCGTCGTTGAAGCGATCGGCGAGCATGCGAGCGACCACCATGTTGCCGTTGACATTGGTCATGGTCCGGATTCGATCAAAGAGAAAGTCGACGGCCATGACGATCGCAAAGGCCGGGGGCACCTGCGTCGCCGACGGAAACACCGTCTTCCAGACCGTCAAGAGCATGACGAGGCCGGCGTTCGGGACGGGCGCTGTGCCCATCGAGCCAATCAACGCGACAAAGAAGAGGACGACCCACTGCGGACCACGGAGCTGGTCGTCGATGCCCGACATGTGCGCCATAAAAACCGTCATGACCGGTTGGTACAAGCCCGCAGCGTTCATGTTCGTGGGTGTCCCGAGGCACAGAATGAGCTGCGCGAGGGACCGTGAGACTTGGCGCGTCTGGTGCACGACGGTCACCGCGACGGGCAAGGTGGCCATGGACGACGCACACCCAAACGCAAAGACGTATGCGGGCACGAGATGGCGGAGGTACTTGTACGGGTTGCAGCGCGTAAAGAGAAAGAGGAAGAGCGGCATCACGAGCAGCACATGAGAGACGACACCACTCAAAAACGCCAAAAAGACATAGCCAAACGCGGCCGCGTTCGCCTCCTTGATCTTGTACGAGACGATCGCACTCGCGAGAAGGAAGAGCACCGCGATCGGCGTGAGCCGCAAGAGACCGTCGATGAGCACCAAGATCGCATTCCGCGTCTGGCGAAGCAGCACAAGCAAATAGTTGTGATTGGCGTCGCTCTGCGTTTTCGCAATCACAAAGCCGAGCGGCAGCGCAAACGCAATGATACTCAAGAGCGACCCGCTCGCAAACGAGGCAAATATGTTCTCGGGCACGACCAAGTTGAAGATCGAAATGACTTGGTCCGACAACGAGAGCTGCGAGACCGCCTGTTTGGACGCGAGCGTGATCCCGTGCGACGCATCGCTCAACGTAAAGAGCGCCGTCGTGGCGTTTGGATTGGCCTCGATACAGCCGATAGACCCATTGCTACCAAGGACTGCGAGGTACATCTTGTTGGCGCACTGGAGTGCAATGTTGGTCGGAAGCGCGGGGGCCGGTGCCTTGGCAACCCCGTGGCTCGCCACGAGGTGGTAAACATACGCTACTGTGATGCCTTGGAGCGTGGCGAGCAGTGACGTGAGGAAGTAGACGGCGCCCGTGCGCCACGAGAGAAGCGCGGTTTTTTCGAGAAGCACGATCTCGGCGATCGCGACCGCCATTGAGCAAAATACCATGGGCACGATGAGACAGCGCAGTGCGCGCACAAAGAGGTCGCCGGGAAGCGCGAGCCACTTTGGCCAGTCGGACGAGGCGTCGACGTGGAGCTGCATAAGACCGACGCCGAGGCCAACGCCGATCGCGGCGGCAACCACTATCGAGACGGACGCGACTAGACTTGTGCGGCTTCTTACGTTCAGTGGCTGCGGGTGGAGCTTGTCGGGGAAATACTCTTCCATGATCGGGTCCTCGTAAACCTCAAAGGGCCGACCGGGACTCAAGCGGGATGTAAACGTCGTACGGATACCTGAGCCTTCGGGCGGCGGTGGCAGACGCCGGGACACCGACACCGTTCGAGAGCTGGGGGTCGAGAGCAATGTGTGGGGATGGTCCAACGCGCTGGACCGCCGGGTCGCTTCCGGCTCCGCGGACGGCGCGTCGTCGGGCGCATACAAGAAGACGCCACTGGATGCTGTCGTGCTGTGCTTTGTCATCCAAGCGGGAAATGAAAGACTGATTCGAGCAAGCAATACGCATCAAATGTGACCTTTCCTGGTCAGAAGACAGGCCATACGCACGGGTGGTTCGTTGCACATGTGGCAATGTCCATCTCTCGTCGCTTCACCAGCCAAGCTCAGCCAACCCATGGCAGCTATGGCAGCTACCCATGGCGTGCTGCGATGGCCGATACCTTGCACAAGATAGGTGTCGTCACGTCAACGCGGGAATAGACACGCCAGGCTACCTCGCGACCTGGCGAGGGATGTGCAAAAGCTCGTTTTTCACCAGAAAGGCCACAACATTTTGTGAGCCTGCCACGTAATTTTCACATATTTTACACGTGTAAAATTTGATATTGCACTTTGCTGGACCAGGATTGATCACCAGAAAACCGTTCAACACGGTGAGAAATATCATCCTAACGACAAGGGTGACTTTGTCCAACGACCGCCTTTCCCCGTTCTTCAAATCAGACTTGCTCGACGACGTCGTGCTTCAAGTATGTAGACTACGTAGCTTGCTAAAACCCAATGTATTAGCTTGGCTAAGCTTGCATGTTAAGTCGTGCTGCACACGAATGCAGAAATCGTCATCTGCACAAATCCCATGACCATGCGCGTCAGCGCATGACCTCCACACTAAGGCGTAGACGTGGCAGCGCACCTGGATTCGTGGAAGCTGGCAACGTTGCTCCGGCCATGCGTACGTACGTCGTCAACGTCTGATCTTGCAAGCGCCTCGTCGTACGCCGCGCGTTAGCGATGCCAGTGCTACATTCGATAGCCCAGCTCAAAAGCCCACTAGCCAGTACTAGTAGAGTGCGCAGCTCCGTTTGAACTTGACACGCTTGGTGTATCTAGACTTCTCGCACCCATGAGTATCACCAATTGCGCGTGTATACACGTGGGACTCGACGTCCATTTGCTAAGGATGTCAAATATGATTTCTTAGTCCCAGTGTTCTTCGTCCGTGTGCCCGCTGGTTTGGTCGTCGTAGCGGTCCGCCAGTATGCGCGTCACGATCATGTTGCCGTTAACGTTGACCACAGTTTGGACGCGGTCCAAGATGAAGTCGATCGCGACCAGGAACACAAAAGCTTGCGGCACCGCATCGTCGGGAAACACCGTCTTCCAGACCGTCATGAGCATGACAAGACCGGCGTTCGGGACAGGCGCTGTGCCCATGGAGCTCAGAAGCGACACGAAGAAGAGGACGACCCACTGCGGCGTGTCGAGATCTCTGCCAATGGTGGTCGCCAAGAAGACAGCCATGACCGGGTGGTACAAGCCCGCGGCATTCATGTTGACGGGCGTCCCGAGGCACATGACGACTTGAGCAAACGACCGCGAAACCTGGCGTGTCTGGGCCATGGCTGTGACCGCGACTGGAAGCGCCGCCAACGACGACGCGCACCCAAACGCAAAGACGTAGACCGGAAGCAGCTGTTGGATGTAGCGAAACGGCTGCGTGCGTGTGGCAAGAAAGAGCACGAGGGGCATCACAAGAAACACGTGCACGCCAACACCGCCTAAGAACGCCGCGAGGAGGTACCCGCCGTTGGTCACAACCGTGTTGGTCAAGTTGTCGTATGTCACGATCGCGCTCATGAGCAAAAAAGCGACAGCGACGGGCGTCGCTTTCAAAATCACCTGCAGCATGATGAGCATCGCGTTGCGCGTTTGTCGAAGCACGAGCAGCATCGCGTTGTGTTCTGGTAGCCCAGTATGCGACTTGGCAATGGCAAATCCGAGTGGAAGTGCAAACGTGATGATGCTCAGTAGCGAGCCATTGGCGAGCGCGGCAAAGATGTTTTGCGGCACCAAGAGATTGATGATGGAGATGACCTCTTGTGTCAACGATAAGCTGCGCAGCGTCGTGTTGACGGCCAATACGTGGTTGACGTCGCCCGCGACAAATCGCGTCGATGGCGACGACGTGTCGGACGCGACGCACGCGAGCTCGTTTGTATTCGTCGATACAAAGTACTTGCCGTTGGCGCACTCGAACTCCAATGCGAGCGACGTGGTTGCGAGAAGCCCCGTTGCCGGCATGTGATTGCGCACAACAGTGTGGAAAATGGCAGCAACAATCATGCCCTGGATGACCGCCAGAAACGTCGTCAGAAAAAAGGTGCACCCAGTGCGCCATGAGAGAATCGAGGCCTTCTTGAGCACGACGATCTCGGCGACAGCGACGGCCATGGCTGAGAAGACAGCGGGCACCATGACGCAGCGCAGCGCTCGAACAAAGAGCTCGCCGGGCAGCGCCACCCAAGCAATAGCGTCGGACGAGAGATCGAGCGTCGCTAGAAGAAGCCCAAGACCGATACCGATGCCGGCAGCGACGATGATGGCTAGCGAGCTAAGGACATACGGGCGCACCTTGGTCTTTCTCGGAGGTGGCTCTAGCATCGAGTCGTCGGTCTCAAAGGCGTCATCGTCGACGAACCCTTCGTACTCGGAGATGACGGGCGTGAAGCGCTCGTCCGACTGCTTGGAAAGCAAATTGCCGCGCACGTGAAAGATTTCACCCGGTGGCGGCGGACGGCGGACGCCACCGGTCGTAGGGTTCTGGTTGAGGTTCGTGGCGACGGTGTTACTGCTGGACACCGGTGGGTTCGACTCCCGCGGTGCTTCGCCTTCAAAGAGCACCACACCCCGCGCTGCCATTTTGCCAATGTGTCGTCCACAGAGAAGGATTCGTCGAAGATTAGGCCGTAAGATCGAAGGTTTAGCCGATAGTACAACCCTATGTATTCGAATTTATTATTTGCGACGACCAGGTTAATAAACACTTTTGCAAGCGGCTCGTATCCTTTCAGGGGATGAGTGACGTGAGGCCCTTCCGTATATGCCGCGGGCTTTGTGATGCGATCGCGGCTTGTTGGCCACACCGTTCGGAACATTAACGATTCGAATCGTTCGGCGTCATGTTTCTGTCCTCTCCAACCGTGCAAAGGACCAGCCGAGGCATCATTCTCAGTGTCGTTGAAACGAGTTGAGTTTGATATTATATCTGGCACCGTGAACAGATAATGGAGTTTACGTAGTAGCGTGTTGCGACTGAACGGTGGTGCTGAGGCTTACTAGTAGCCGTTGATGTACAGAAGGTGCGGACCGAAAATGATGCATAGGTCATGAAGTCATGTGGCTTGGTACAGGGCACGCATCATGTCCATCTCTTGGCGTTCAGCAAGCGCTGACGATGGAGTTGGTATAAAAAAGCGAGAAGAAACGTAGCCGCCTTGGGCAAAAGACACGGTTATGGCAGCCGAGCCAGACGGCGCGGAGCATGCGACTTCGTCGGCATGCGAAGCTCACAGTGCAATGTCCATGGCGTCGCAGGGTCTGGTCTCCTCGTGCCAGCTGGCCATGGCAGCGCGCCACGTTGAGGCGGTGCCACCCTAACCCCATCCAGATGTTTAGCGTCCACCAATCAACAGCGAGGCAAACTCGTCGAGAGTTAATAACCTCTAACAACAAATGTATCCACTCGGAGCTGCCGTAGCGACACGCCATGAATCCAATTATTCCCTTATTCAAGTACTTTTGTACGCGTACCGGAGGCCGCGCATGGTTTTGTGGATACTATTGTACTTTTTTAGTGAATTACAGCTAAGCCGCACAATCCACGGCTCCCTGTCGAGCAGCGCAAATTCTTGACGTTGGCGATCCAACACAAATGATGGACTGGCAACGTGCGAGCGCTGCCACTTAGTCGCATTCTACATTTTGCACACCATGGGGCACACGGGTCCGCTGCTGCGCAAGAACGTGTGGCTCAAGAAACGGCGGCCGATCGCGACCCTCTTCGAAGTCGTCGCCCCGGCGTTTGCGCTGATTGCATTTGCCGTCCTCCAGTCGTTCATGTACGGCAACTACAAGGTGTCGTACGCGCCCGGGTGGCAAAACTGGCCGCTGCTTCCAGGCTACTCGAACGTCAACTATGGCGACCGTGTCTGGACGTATGGCAACATGCGGGGCGTGCACTTTGCCGAGCCTTCCGTGTACCAATGGCTGCAAAACTCGATGGGCGAGAGCTACGACACCAAGAGCTGCTTTCAGAACCCGTCGCCAAACGAGCTCAAGTCGACCAAGTGCCAAAAAGCGCTTGCGCTGCGGCCCAAGCTCGCGATCGTTCCGGACACGGTCTTTACGCGCAAGTACTTTGCCGCAGCGCTCACGACGTGGTACCCGACGCTATCGATCCCCGTCTCGGACAACAAGACCGTGACGATTCCGGGTATTTCGGCCGACGACCTCGTCTTCTTCGAGTCGGAAGTCGCGCTCGAAGCTTATGTGACGAGCCCGTCGTACGGCCCGGAAGAGAACGAGTGGTACTACTCGTCACGGGACGAGACCCCGAAGGAGGGCACCACAGCGCCGCTCCGCGCGGCCATCGTCTTCAACGCAGCACCGGCGACAGACAAGATTGGCACGTTCCAGACGGTTGAGTACACGCTACGGTTCCCAAACCTCGACCGGGGCCAAAAGTTTGCACCACCGATGCAGACGGGCCAGCGCTACGACCCGCTGCAAATCGAATTCAAGCCCGACGATGCCATGGCGTACACGCAACTGGGATTTGCGACCGTCGACACGATGGTGGCCCGCCTCCTCAACTGCCTCCCGGCGTGGGACGCTACCGCGCAGTCGACCAACGGGTCGTGCACGGTGGCGGCGTCGACGTCGGCGCCGGCGGCTGACGCGGCGCTTCAGTCGGTTGCCGACGCCGACTGGAAGGACCTTTTGCAGCAGCTCGATCGGGGGTATGCCTGGAGCCTTGAAAACTCGACGCTCGCGACGCTCCCCAAGGCGTTCCGCGAGGCATACCTGCGCCCGCTGCGCCAAGCGCCACAGCCGTACCTCGGTGGTGCCACCGACGTCTTCCCAATGCAAGGCTACGGTATCAACACGCTCTTTGGCGACGATTTGCTCTTGGCGACGGCGATGCCGGCGGCCATGGTGCTCTTCAGTCTCTTCCTTGTCGGCAACATTGTCGGCGCGTTCGTGCTCGAGAAGGAGACGCGCTCCAAGGAGTACATGCTCGCGCTCGGCTTGCACCCATCGGCGCTCGTCGCGTCGTGGTTCCTTCTCTACAGCGTCCTCATTGTGCTTGTCGCGGGCATTGAAACGCTCGTCGTTGCCGTCGGCGCCATATTTCCCAACTCGTCGCTGGCCTGCCTCTTTCTGCTCTTCCTCGGGTTTCATCTCGCGACCTTGTCGTTTGGGTACGCGGCCTCGACCCTCTTTTCGTCGACCAAGACAGCGACGTACGTCACGCAGCTCGTCTTCATGCTGCTCACGATCGCTGGCTACGTGCTGCCGGATGCCGCAGGTGAATGTGCGAAAGCCGCCATCTGCCTTTGCCCGCCGGCCGCGATCGTGCTCGCGATCCAGGTCGTGCTCCGCGCCGAGTACTACACGCAAGGCATCACGTTTGCGAACGCGTCCGTGCTGCAGACCAACCGGCTCCGCTACTCGACTGCGGTCGGCATGCTCTTTGCGGACGTCATCGTCTATTTGCTTCTCGGATTGTACCTCGAGACGGTGCTGAGTGACAAGCGGCCGTGGTACTTTCCAGTGTCGCCGTCGTATTGGCGCCGGCGGTCAAGTGCGGCACCGAGGACGAGCCCGTCGACGCACGACGAGAGCAGTGACGTCGAGACGCCCGAGCTCCACCTTTTGCAGCAGGAGAAGGACGGCCGGGCGCTCGTGGTCCGCGGCCTGCACAAGAGCTTTGGCGCGCACGTCGCGGTCGACGATCTGCATCTCGCGTTCTACGAAGGTCAGATCTCGTGCCTGCTTGGCCACAACGGCGCGGGCAAGACGACGCTCATCTCGATGCTCACGGGCATGCTGCCGCCGACCGCCGGTGACGCAACCATTCACGGGCACTGCCTCTCCAAGGACCTTCGCGCGATCCAGGCGTCGATGGGTGTGTGCCCCCAGCACAACATTTTGTACGACAACCTCACGGTCGCCGAGCACTTGCGGCTGTACGCAGCAATCAAGAACGTTCCCGACATTGCTGCCGCCGTAAAGGCGACGCTTGCCGAGGTGGACCTCGTGGACAAGGCCGACACGCTTGCCAAGGGCCTCTCGGGCGGTATGAAGCGCAAGCTCTCGGTCGGTATTGCACTGCTTGGTGGCAGCCAGCTCGTGTTTTTGGATGAGCCCACGTCGGGCATGGACCCGTACAGCCGCCGCGCCGTCTGGTACGCTATTTTTGCGGCCTCTCAGATCTGATAGCATGCACCTCGTAGGGACCTCTTGCTCCGCAACCGGGGGCAGCGTATTATGATTCTGACCACGCACTACATGGAAGAAGCCGACGTTCTCGGTGACCGCATCGCCATCATGGCCAACGGCGCGCTCCAGTGCGCAGGCTCGTCACTTTTTTTGAAGACGCGGTTCGGTGCCGGGTACACGCTGACGCTGGCCAAGGCCAGTGCGAGTGTGGACACGGACGCAGCACTTCTCCAGCTCGTCGAGTCGTGTGTGCCGGACGCCACGCTCGTCTCGCACGTCGCGACCGAGGTGGTTTTTACCCTGCCGTCGGCGTCCGCGTCGGCGTTTCCGAATCTCTTTGAAGCGCTTGACGCGTCACTTGAGCGCGTCAATGTCGCGTCGTACGGCATTTCCGTCACGACGCTCGAAGACGTCTTCATCCACATTACGGGCCGCGTCTCGGACCCAAGTGACGCGGTGGCCGTGGCGATGGAACCGACAGTGACGCATGCAACGTCGTCGCGGTCGTTTGTCTCGCAGCTGGGCGCGCTCCTGCTCAAGCGACTCCATGTCGCCAAGCGCGACACGCGCACGCTCTTCAACTCGATCATCTTGCCGCTGCTTCTCGTTGCGATCGGGTTTGGTTTGATGAAGTACGTCTACGAGCACGACTCGACGGCTGCGCAACCCCGGTTGGCCCTCGATACGTCGCCGTACCCGGACGCTAGCGCTAGCCCGACGCCGTACGCCTGCCTCAACAACGACACCACGGCCTGCAGTGCGCTTATGGGTCGCTTCTCTGGTGCTCGTCCGGTGGCGTTGCCGTCTCTGGGTGCGACAGCGTACACGACGCCGACCGTCGACGTCTTTGGTATCACGTACGGTGACATGCCTCGCCCGTCCGACTGCGACGGACGCAGCTACTATGCCATATGCAAGGCGGCGCCGGCCAAGCTCAACTCAACCGACGGTTTTGAGCTTCGGTTTTCCACCGAGCTCTACGCGCGCGGCTTCCGCGCCGGAAACGACGAGGTGCAAATGGGCGGGTACCTCCTCTACGTCTCGCCAACCGACAATGTCATGAGCTACACGCTGTTTGCCAACACGTCGTCGCCGCACGCTGCGCCCGTCTTCAAGCGGCTCTTGCACCAAGCCATGTACCGTAGCTTTGCCAAGTCAAATGACATTGAGCTCCGCGTGGCCGCGCACCCGCTGCCAGAGACCACGCGGACGGCCGAGCATCGACGCAAGCAACGACAAGGGTGGGGCGACTCGATGGGCTACGTCGGTCTCGGCTGCTTCCTCTTTGCGCTCGCCTTCTTCCCCGGCGGCATCGCCACGTTTATCGTCAAGGAGACCCAGCTCACGGCCAAGCACCAGCAGCTCGTCTCGGGCGTCTACCTCTCGGCGTTTTGGGCTGCCAACATCATCTACGACATTCTAAGCTTCCTTCCGATGCTCGGGATCTTGCTCGGGCTCATTGTGGGCTTCGGCATCACGCCCTACACGGCCAACTCGGAAGGGGTCGACGACGCGCTCATGGCGACAACGGTACTCTTTTTTCTCACGGGTGTCGCGCTCGTCGCGTCGGCGTACGTTTGCGCCTTCTTCCTCAAGGAGCCGTCGTCCGCGCAGACGATCATGGTCCTGTCGCACCTCGGTCTCGCGATTGCTTTCTTTGTGGCCGAAAATGTCTTGTACACGTTTTCGATGGCGAGCATGAACAGCGTCTGGCGCGTCGCACCGCTCTACGCGCTTGGCGACGGTCTCCGCAATGTCACTGCGACCAACGCCAAGTACGTCACGCTCCCCAACGGCACGTCGTTCAAGATGCGCATGCATGTGCTCGCATCAACCGGTGTCTACGAGCACCTGACGTACCTCGGTGCAACGGCCGGTGTCTTCTTTGCATTGCTCGTCGGCCTCGAGTACCTTCGCACAATCAAGGCGCATTCGTACAACGCGGCGCCCGACACGACAGACGCGGCATCGATGACAGACACGGACGTCCTAGCCGAGAACGCGCGCGTCACAGCGCTGCCCAGTGCAAATGAGAGTGCGGTCGTGATCGACCAACTGCGCAAAGTCTTCAACGACTTTTTCTTCCGCACCGAGTCCGTCAAGGCGGTCAAAGGTCTCTCGGTCGCGCTGCCAAAAGGCGAGTGCTTTGGTCTCCTGGGGGTAAGACTCGCTGTAGTGGCGTTGCCACGACTCACGTGTGCATTAGGTCAACGGTGCCGGCAAGTCGACGACGCTCAAGATGTTGCTGGGCGAGGTCGCGCCGTCCGCAGGCCGCGCCTTCCTCGCTGGCCGCAACGTCGTGTCGCAACACAACCAAGCGCGCACGCTTGTCGGGTACGTTTTGAGCAACTGATGTACACGGGTCGTTGACGATGGTCTGGTGTAGGTACTGCCCGCAGTTTGATGCGCTTTTTGACCTCCTCACGGTGCGCGAGCACTTGCAGCTGTACGCGGCGCTGCGCGGCCTTCGCGGGTCGGACGCCAAGCGCGCGATTGCACAGCTCATCTCCAAGCTGCGGCTCACGCCGTTCGAGCACGTCCTCGCGTCGCACTTGAGCGGTGGCAACAAGCGCAAGCTCTCGGTTGCGATCGCGATGATTGGATCGCCGCCCATCATCATCCTCGACGAGCCATCCACAGGCATGGACCCGGTGTCGCGCCGGTTCCTGTGGGAGGTCATCTCGGACCTCTCGACGCACCAGCGCGAGTCGACGGTCATTCTCACGACCCACTCGATGGAAGAATGCGAAGCTTTGTGCTCGCGCGTCGGCATCATGGTCAGCGGCGGTCTCCAGTGCCTTGGCAGCATCCAGCACATCAAGCAGAAGTTTGGCCACGGCCTCGTGCTCGACCTCAAGCTGCGCGTGCCCGAGCAAGCAGCGATCGAGGCGATGGCCGCCACGCTGCCGTCCACGCTCAGCATGGACGACATGATCCACTGGTGCGGCCGCCTCCGCAAGCCGTCGCGCGCGTCGTTGTTGGCGCCGGACCACGCCACGGGCTTCTTCCTCGCGCACTTGGCGAACACGGAAGGCGCGGTTGACGTTGCGTCGTTCTGCTCGTGGTGGCTCGGCGAAGACATGTTTGACGCGATCTCTGGGCACCTGCAGGCGGCGACGAACGGCGCAATTGACGTCGTCTTGCGCGAGCCGGCGCTCGTGCAGTTCAAGCTCCACACGACGCTCTCGGTTGCGTTCAGCGTCGTCGAGGCGGCCAAGGCGACGTTCCATATTCAAGAGTACGCGGTCTCGCAGACTTCGCTCGAGGACATCTTCAATGCGTTCGCGTCCAAGCAAGAACGACGCGAAGAGCCGTCGTCGACGCGCGGGTGCTGCGGCTGCTTTGGGAAAACACCGCCGAAAAGCAACCAGTACCGTGCACTGTCGAGCCCCTAAGTCCCGTTGTGTAGCTCTGCATCAGCGGCTGCATGTCTAAATCCAATTTGTCTCTTCATCACTTTCGGCAGCGATACGATATCAGTAGGGTCGTTGCAAAACGGTCTGTGCTGGGTAGCGGGGAGCGTGGTAGCAGAGGCAGCGGGGTCGCACGGCTGTCAGGTAGCGGCGCGACGTGAAATCGGCGCACGCGCTTCATTGCGAGTCACATGTCGTTAGCGATCTTTCCTGTTCTATGGGGTTAGGGTTAGATTGGTTCCGTCGCCATCTAGCTGTATAGATGAACGCGTTCCGCGTTATCTTCATTATTACAAGACTTCGAATGCGCGGTGCTATGCCTGGATGCGTGGGAGTTAGCACTTGGTCGTTGGGAGTGAGCTGCGTACGGAGAGATCCATCTCGTGGTGGACCCCATTCGCCGAGTCATAGCTCGCGCGAGTTCGTACGCAAGCTCCTGCACTCGGGCTAACTATCTATCACTCCAAAGTCGTTGTAGTGAGTCGTTCGATCAGTCCAAAGACGTAGCTGCATAGGCAAAAGAGTGCATTAGGTACGATTACAATAGACGACGACGCGACAAGCAAGACGAGTAATAGGAAATAAGATCGCTAAACGCCCGGGACTGGTGTACGGGCATCTTCGCTCGTCTCGTCCGACCACGCCTCGACCGGGTCGTCGTAGCGCTGGGCCAAAATCCGCGTGACAAACATGTTCCCGTGCACGTTGGTCATGGTCGAGAGCCGATCAAAGATAAAGTCGCCGGCGACAACATACACAAACGACGACGGCAGCGGCGTCGTTGGCAGCACCGTCTTCCAGACCGTCATGAGCATGACGATCGCTGCGTTGGGCACGGGTGCTGTGCCCATCGAGCCAATGAGCGAGACAAAGAAAAGCACCACCAGCTGCGGCGTGCCGACCTTGTCGTTGGCGCCCGACATGGCCGCGAGGAAGATCGTCATGAGCGGATAGTACAGGCCCGCGGCGTTCATGTGCACCGGTGTCCCGAGATACATGACGAGCTGCGCCATCGAGCGCGAGACTTGGCGCGTCTGGTGCACGACGGCCACGGCCACGGGCAACGTCGCCATTGACGACGAGCAGCCGAACGCATACATGTAGGCGGGCACGAGCTGCTTCATGTAGTAGTACGGATTGGCGCGCGTAAAGAGGAAGAAGAGGAACGGCATCAGTAGCAGCGTGTGGCTCAGTACACCCGTGAAGAAGGCCATGATCAAGAAACCACCTTGCGAGACGATCGTCGAACCACTCGTGTTGTACGTCGAGATGGCACCGGCGACCAAAAAGACGACGGCAAAGGGCGTCGTCGCCAGCACGGCGTTGATCAAAAGTAAGAGCGCATTCCGCGCTTGCCGAAGAATGTTGAGGAGCACGTTTGTTTCCATCTCGCCGGCATGCGACCGCGCGATCGCGACGCCAAGGGGCAAGGCAAACATGATGATGCTGAGGAGCGACCCGTCGGCGAGCGACTCGAAAATGTTGTCGGGCACCATGAGGCTGATGATGCCAATCACTTGGTCGGTGAGCGTCACGGCCTGCGCGGTGACCCGCGTCGCGAGCACGTGGTTGACGTCCGACGCGATAAAGTGCGCCGACGCCACGGTTGCGTTGGCAGCAATGCAGGCCACGCCGGCGTCCGTGCCATTGCTCTGCGCCCCAAGGTACAGGCCGTTGGCACACCGGAGAGCGACGATTGGCGACGAGACGTCACCGTCGTCGGGCCAGTGCACGATGAAGCGACTGCGGTAGGCGAGCGCGATGACCATGCCGAGCACGGTCGAGAGAAACGACGAGAGGAAGAAGGTTCCCGCGGTCCGGAGCGATAGGATGGACTTTTTCTTGAGGAGCACAATTTCCGCGATCGACGTGGAGATGGTGCAAAACACCATGGGCACGATGAGACACCGAAGCGCGCGGATGTAGAGGTTGCCGGGCAGCGAGACCCACAGTATCGCGTCTTGGCTAATGCGCCAGTGGGAGAGAAGGAGGCCGAGGCCCGTGCCACCAAAGGCGCCAATGATGACGGCGATCGTCCCAATAAAGGTCGTCTTGGCGCGGTAGTCGTAGCTCGCTTGCACGGCCGTGGGCATCATGGCCTTCTCGGGCTCTTCGAGAATCACGTCGGCCGACGGTGCGTTCTGGAGCCGAAGCGTCTCGGGTGTTGATGGCAGAAGCTCGTGCATGTAATACGGCGATGCCGTGCGCGGTCCCGGCGATGTGAAGACGGTGCGGGCGCCCGTGGGCTCGGGGGGCGGGGGGCGCCGACCTCCCGGCGTCGTGTTGGCCGACGACGACGACCCTGTGCCGTGCAGCGACCGGCGGTTTTGACGCGGCGTTGTCTCGGGCGTCTCGGCCACGTAGAGGTAGATGCCTTGCCGCGGCTCCATTGGAAATCCACAAGTGACGTGCCAAATGATGGCAGCGTCTGCGTCAACGTTGGCGGGCGTGGAACGGTGACCAACGTGAACCAACCCACATGTCTTCCCGCCATGTGAAGAAGGCCTGTCGAATTCACTCTATGAGTGCGATTGGAAGTGACAGGTGTGTTGAGTCAACGCGTGTTTGTACTGCGCATGATGACTCGATGTCTCATGTAAGCGAATAGAGCGTGCATATGTCCTGATGCTGGGTGTCCGCCGACGAGCGATGCCAGCTCCAGATCAGGTTGCATCAGCGATTCGTTCCGCGAAATGTGCAGGAATCTTGCCCCTCTCAGCGGCGGCTACGCTCTATCAGCTTGAAAGGCCTAATGCACATTATACCAGACGATGTTTAGTCCAGGCAGCGAGATACAAACCAACACGACCGAGCGGAGGACGGGCAATGTGCGGTATCCAATAACGGTAGCTGGTGTCCTCAACCGCACTTCAAAGATGTATCCTTATAGAACGATAAGATTCCGTGTGCCATAGACTTATGTGCGGATAGAAGAAGCACGGCAGCCATTGATGATGATGCCGCGCCTGCTCCATGCGGCAGACGACGCCTCGAGCTCAAGGCGCAATGTAGCGTGCGATCTTTAGCGGTATGACGCCGTACTCCGTGCGTCGGGGCTCCATTCAGCCGTGTTGGTTCCGAGAGCCACTGTTACGACCGAGTGCTCTGGTTCGGATTGCTCAGCCGTCGCACGTCGAGAACGCTGCGGTGGCAGCTACAGTAGCGGAGATGTGAGAGGTCGCGAAAGCTGTCACGACGGGAAGGATGCGGTACCCGGTAGCAGCGTCCTGTCAGTTGAAATGGAATGGCTTGGATGATGGTACAGGGCCGAACAATTGCGGTGTCCCCACGCACCCGTTGGCATCCCGTTGGCACCCTGCTCAAAGAAGACCATTATTATTGCACGTGATCTGCTGGGTTTGAAATGCTCCGGGTGGCGTGAGCTGACGTATATTCCGTGGTAACGGCGGACTCACTTTCTGAAACGGGGCGTCTCGCGAAGTGGATCGAACTCTGAGTTTGCAGTTTGCAAGGCAGACATCATTGCAAATGCAAGTCGCGAGCTACGAATTCATCGAGGTATTAGTATGCCTGAAGTCCAATTATGTAGTTGAGCAAGATACATTCATTCCTTGGGGAAATAAGCTCTTAGTTCACCAAGAGCTCGGTACCGGTACAATATTGTACAGAAATGAAGCCCCAAGGAATCGTCGAAAAAGATCTTGCACCGCTTCGGTATAAAAAGTTGGGCGCTGAAGGGTTAAGTCGTGTCTCGCGCCGAAACCTGTCGACTTACCACCAGCAATATGTACGAGCGTGCCAAGCTCATCAGTGGCTGAATGAATGGGGCTCAGTGCAAATAAGAGAATAAGCTGAAGGGTCATCTGTTGGTTCAAAGTTCGAAATCAACAAACGAACGACTCCGCCACTCTGCGACTCCGCAGTCAATTTGAAGTAGATTGTTTTGCATTTTGGGGTTGACACTCTTTGTCAGTGAAAGCGATGCAGGGATGTTGCATAATGAGTTATTTCATGCAGTTATAAAGATATGGAGGACTTCCTACTGCGCTCGGGAAGCGTGCCCGGTGCGTCAAGCGATGCGTATTAGTGATCGTGATTTTGGATTGTGCGAGGGACGAGGCAGCGGGCACATCAAGGGTCGTCTCGAAGAGCGGCGAGCGACTCGTCAACTGATGGCACCACAGCGCGATGAGCCAAGTACCGGACATGAAGTCGTGAGAGGTAGCTCCGTGACCGCAAGCGCAATAGCGGGAAGTTTCGTGAGCGTCCAACGGAAGACGCGATTGCTGCATTCGAGCCAAACATAATACCCGACGCAAGCGCATACGATCGGCCAGAGGACGGCAGGAATGTACGACTTGTAAATTGAGTACGGCGACAGCGTCGGATACAGAGATGTCGTGTTTCACCAATGCGAGAAAAGCTCAATAGCCCGGTACTTTCTGGCACATTTACGGGTGCACTAGTACAGTAGATAGTGGTAAATCTCTTCGTGTGCGCATCTTCTTTCATCGGACGCCCGCCGGGAACGAGAAATGAGCGAGTCGAGTCGAGCCCTTGCACCGCCGACTGCGCAGCTACGGCCCGTCGAAGCAGCCCGCCGAGAGACTGAAGTGGTACTTCAAGGCGCAGCAAGGAAGTTGAGTTTTTGCCGTCCAGAAAGACGCTAACGTTACGCGTCGGCAGTAGGCTAGATACAGTAGTCAGTTTGCGTTTAGCCTTGTCGATCCTACCCCGCCATGCCACTCCCAATGCATAGCGGTCCCACTCGAGCGTCGTACAAGGCGAAAAAGGGAGGTCGCCAGCCTTCGACATACCATGCAAAACCGCTAAAACATAAAGATCCCACGAGATACGTTCGTCGCAGCTCCCTTCCATCGGAGAACATCTAGAGTACATAAAGAGCCTGAGTCGACGCAGTAATGAATGTGGTCGCGCGCCTGAATCTACTAGCCATTCGACTCTTAGACCAGTGTGATGGACATTTATGGACACCGACAGCAAGCGGTCGGACGTGGACGCCGGGTTTTAATGATTGCGTTCTCGCAACGACGCAAATATGTTTATGGCACCTCCGAGCAGCGACGGTCACTCGAACGCAGCATCGCTTTCCGGTCACGCGAAAGATGGTAACCAGCTGGGAGCTGTCGATTCCAGCGTCCCGTCTGGCATTACAACCAGGTGATCGCGGCCATTTCTGCACGCAAATTGCCGACGGAGATTGCAAGTTGCCGAGGCGACATCGGATGACGCGGCTTCCGAGACGAACGAGGTACCGCCTTGCAGCCACACTCACAGCAGAGACGGGCCCTCGATGTCCTGCCCCTTGTCCGATGTAGCGTCGGGTTGGACACTACATAGCTACATGTAGATGACGCAGGATGCTTCGGCATTCAACACTTGGAAACGCGCGCCGTTTGCAGTCGGCCAGCGCGCTGTCTCGGGGCGCCGCCGATCGTGCGTCTGGCTTGAAGGCAATTTGACCCAATTAAAACAGGAATTGCATAGTCGAGTCAAGTCTGCAGCCGTCACATTTATCATTTCGAAGAGCGCGCGTGTAGAGACGGTAGCATCGTTGAAGTGCACTCGACCTTGCGCAAAGGCGCAGGTCCGGCGCATTACGCACGTGTGTCACGTGTGATACGCGCTGCTGATTGGTTCAAACGCAATAGCCTGCAACCAATGGAGCCAATCAATGACGAGAATACCCGCAGATGACGTATGGGCGTTTACCGAACGAGCCGCGTCTCTCCCTTGCTCCGGGGCGATGGCTCTTCTCGGCCATACGTTCATGCTGCTGGGCGCTCCGCAGTGTCCGTGATACACCACATACGTAATATAAGACGGCGGAGGCTGTCGCATGGCAGTCCGGCGCCGTCAAGAAGTACCGTCTCTCAATGATCGACTTTGCCCTTTTCGTGTACAAGTTCGATTGGCACCTGACTTGCTCTCTGGTTAGAGGAAAGTCACCTCTGGGCTTGAGCGTCACGGACATGTCGGGAATCTCAACTGTTTTATCTTGGCGTTTGTATGTGGCCCAGGTACGGTTTGTCGCCATGTCCCAATCCATATCATACAAAACAAAGCACCTGGGTGAACCGGGTATCCGCGCTTCCATCCACGCGCCAATGTCCCATGCTGGCGGACCAAGCATTGCTCGTTTCGCAGTATTCTTTAACCTTCCGGCTTGTGCGCAGGACCGTCAGGATGGACACGACTCCGAAAAGTGGCATCCTGCTCTTCTCCAACGACCAGTTGCCGGCGCGTCGGCGGTCGTTCAACTCGGCGCCGTCGTCGGACGGCCAGCCGCGCCGGAAATTGCCGCCGCCGCCCGAGCCCGTCGGTGTCCGGACCAACTTTACGTCCGGCAAGCCCATGCACGAGTCGCTTCCCGTGACCAACTACGAGTACCACGAAGACCCGATTCTCGAAGAAGACAAGGACATCCCGATGCAAGGTGACTTTGACTCGCGGACGTCCAACACATATGTCAACTCGATCTACGTGCTCATCGGCGCGGCGGTGGGTGCTGGCGTCGGCCTCGCGCTCACGAACGCCAACCTCAACGAGGACGGCCGCAAGTGGATCGCCTTGCCGGGTGACCTCTTTGTCCGCGCGCTCCGCTGCTTGGTCGTCCCCATGGTGTTTGCGTCGATGGCGGTCGTCATTGCCGAAGTCGTTGTCTTGAAGAAAACGTCAATTTTATCGTGGCGCACGGGCGCCATCTTCTTCCTCACGTCGCTTCTCGCCACGATCCAAGGTGTCGCGATCGCACTTGTCTACCGCAGTACGTTCAGCTCGCGCACGGCGGGCGGCAAGTCGGCGCTGCCCCAACCCGAGCTCGCGTTCAAGTGCCAGAACGGCCTGTACCTCAACATGTTTGACAACGGGACGCTCGCATGCTCGGAGCTCCAGCAGATCAACTCGACGCTCTTTACAACCGTCGATGTCAACAACATGCTCACGGTCAAGAGCACGATCGCGCAGCTCTCGCTCACGCAGCAGATCATTGCCATCATCAACCTCATGGTGCCCGACAACATTTTCGACTCGCTCGCCGAAGGCCAGCTCCTCTCAGTCATCATGTTTGCCTTGCCGCTCGGGTACGCGATCGCAAAGTCGCACAACGGCGCGCCCGCGGAAAACAGCCTCCTCAACATCATTCGGCAGACGCGCAATTCGATTTTGATTTTGATCAACGCCGTCTTGAACATCACGCCGATTGCCGTCGGGTTCCTCATCTGTAACGCCGTCATCTCGTACCAAGCGAGCGCCAACGACGTCTTCTCGCAGGCCGGCTACATTGTGCTCATGTTCCTCGCCGGTGTCTTTTGCCACGTCATGCTCGTCATGCCGCTCGTGCTCTTTATCTTCACGCGCTGCAACCCGTACAACTACATGCGCCAGCTCTTCCCCGCGTACGTATTTGCGTTCGGTTGTTCGTCGTCGATGGCCGCGCTCCCCGTCGGTGTCACGGTCATTCACCAGACGCGCCAAGTGTCGCGGTCGCTCGCGCAGCTCATCATGTGTCTGGGCACGCCAGTCAACCTCAACACGTGCGGGCTGTACTACCCGCTCATGACCATGTTCATGGCCAACTACGCCGGCCTCACGGACGACATCGGCGCACCGCAAATGGTCGTCCTCTTCTTTGTGAGTCTTCTCGGCTGCATGGGTACGGCCCCGATCCCGCAGGCCGGTCTCGCCATGTTGATGACGGTGTGGCGCACGGTGCTGCCGAGTGAAGCGATTCCCCACGCGTTTGTGTACGTCGTCGCCATTGATTTCATCATCGATCGCATCAACACGGTGGTCAACATCAACGGCAACATGATCGTCACGCGCATTCTCGCCGACCAGTTTGACGAGACGGTCGAGACGTGGGCCCACGACCAAATGCTGTAAATGCAAGCCCCACGCCTCCTGTACATTATAGAGCGTATCGCGACAAGAGCTACACAGCTCTTAGACCTAACCACACCATATAAACCATTTTTGATCGAAATGCTGGGTTTGTCAACACAGTCACAGGCGTCTCAACCGTGGCAGAGACGTGGGCTGTCGGCAATGGACCTGCCTCAGACGGCCGCGCGCAGTGCAACACGTTCTCTTGGGTGTCAACCAAGACAACCTGTCCAGGTCACCAATGTGGCGTCTGCGTGCAGGACTCTTGTCCAAAATTCGCGAGACGGCATCTCGAGGCGGCGAGATTCAAAATGACGGTTGTGATTCTGGTTGTGATTGGCGATCATGGTTGGACTTGTCGAAGTATACAAGTGGCAGTAGGCTCAAGAAAAGCTCAAGTAGGTGGCAGCTTCGTATCCCCTGTAGAAGTTGGCGGCGTTTGATGAGATGATGTTCGTTCGTTGGAGCGGACTCATAAAAAGAGAGATATGTGTGGTATAAACCTCTGCACGAATCCAACGAAGTTACTTACGCTCGGCTTGCGGACTTCGTGGCGCTAGCAGCAAACAGTGGCATGATAGTGGCAACGCTAAGCGACTCTACCACATACGGCCAAATGTGTAACCAGCAGTATGTGCATATCTGAGCACGTCTCGTCTCCCGGCATGAGAAGTCGACGTCCGCTTGCGAATTACTGTCGGTGATTCAAAGGCTGGAGCCGCGAGCGCTCGGATATTGCAGGAGAAAGCTCGGGTTGCTCTTGCTCTAATGTGCGGTTGGTATGCGTCCGAGGCAGAGGCTTTGGGGGGCGTGGCAATCCGCAGACGGACGTACCACACTGCATGTCCCAGACACTGAATCACCAGAACAAATCGGACGAAATCACCGCTTCGTGCTCTCTCTACTGCTCCAGCACCTTTGTGGCTACATCATCTATACCCTCTCGAGGTGTGGCGGGATGCTGCATGCATCAAGTGCTGGCCACCAACATTGCGTCGTCCTTCATTATTCGAACATGGTGCCATGCCAAAGCAGATTGGGGAGGCGCACCCAGGTACATGGTCATTAGCGATGGGTACATGATGGTTCGTCGACTTCTTCACGGCTACCTCTGCTGCTATGCCGTGGACCTTTTACGCACCGACGATACTGCACCGGGAGCCTCTGGTGGTGGCGTTGCCGCTGCGTCGAGTCGGTGTGCGAAACCTTCGATACCGACGATGGTTTCAGTGGCGCCGCTTCCCGATAATCGAAGAAAAGCTTGTCTCAAGGGAATGCATCGGAATACAAATCGCCAGATTCCAGCTGGTCGCGCCAGATCTATTGCCCTTTGGTTGCAGCGTCACCAGCTGCCCAAAACACTCGGCCCGATTGCTCCAGCCGCGTCGTCAACCTTTCTACAAGTGGCACGGTAAGCGCCACCGGCTCGCACTCGTCAACCTTCCGTCTTCTGCGCACCTTCTTCTTCGTCGACAAGAACGATGGACCAGCAGCCAAAAGGTATCCTCCTCTTCACCAACGACCAGCTCCAGGGGTCCCGGGCACCGTCGTACCACTCAGCACCATCGTCCGACGGCCAGCGCGCGCGCCGCATTGCGCCGCCTGCCGAGCCGCTCGGTGTCCGCACCAACTTCACCTCGGGGAAGGCGCTCACCGACTCGATCCCGATGACGTCGTATGAAAACTACGACGACCCGATCATGGAAGAAGACAAGAACCTCCACGCTGCCGGCGACTTTGACGCGCGCTCCACGAGCACCTACGTCAACTCGATCTACGTGCTCATCGGCGCGGCGGTCGGCGCAGGTATTGGCCTCGCGCTCACCAAGGCCGACATCTCGCGGGACGTCCAGCAGTGGATTCAGATGCCTGGTGACCTCTTTGTCCGCGCACTCCGCTGTCTTGTCGTGCCCATGGTGTTTGCGTCCATGTCGGTCGTCATTGCCGAAGTTGTCGTTTTGAAAAAGACGTCGATTTTATCGTGGCGCACCGGTGCCATCTTCTTCTTCACGTCGTTCATTGCGACCGTGCAAGGCCTCCTCCTCTCGACGGTCTATCGTGGTATCTTTGAGGGCGGCACCAACTCAACGTCGACGTCGGCGCTGCCGTCGCCGGTGCTCGCGTTTCGCTGCGCCAACGGTCTCTTCCTCAACCAGCAAACCAACGGCAGCCTCCTCTGCGACAAAATGACCAACGACACGGCCACGACGCTCTTTACGACGGTCGATATCAACAACATGCTGACGGTCAAGAGCACGATCACGCAGCTCTCGCTCACGCAGCAGATCATCTCGATCATCGAGCTCACCGTGCCCGACAATATCTTTAACGCGCTCACGCAGGGCTCTCTCCTCTCGGTCATCATGTTTGCCTTGCCACTCGGGTATGCGATCGCCAAGTCGCACAACGGCCCCGCGACCGAGAACGGCCTCCTCAACGTATTTCGGCAAACCCGCAACTCGCTCCTGATTTTGATCAACGCCGTCTTGATGCTGACGCCGATCGCGGTCGGTTTCCTCATCTGCAGCGCCATCATCTCGTACCAAGCGAACGCGTCGGCCATCTTTTCGCAGGCCGGGTACCTCATTTTGATGTTCCTCGCCGGTGTGTTTTGCCACGTCATGCTCGTCATGCCGCTCATTCTCTTCCTCTTCACGCGCTGCAACCCGTACAACTACATGCGCCAGCTCTTCCCTGCTTACGTCTTTGCGTTTGGTTGTTC